TAACCATGAGAACTATATCTTAAACCTAACATAATAAGTATTTTCTTCTCAGTGCTTCAGCTTCTTGCAGTGATACATCTTATTGCAATTATCGTCTATGTACAATTCCGTGGATTTTCTTGTTCAAATTGTTTCACTTGGCAATTAGTACAATATTGATATTGTGATGGATTTTGCTTTTATTATCATGATCTATCATTTAAAACAAGCAGTAGTAGTCATAGGGATAAAAAGGACAAAAACACGACAATTTTTCACTAAAATGTAATAGCTGTGCATGGCTGTGCATAGTGTATACTGTAATTACTGCTGGTTTACGGCAACATTAAAAAAAAGTACAGGTACCAATTTGGGGTTCTCCCATTTTTTAAGTTTAGATATGCTAAGCCCTGTTTGCACAGATGTCAAACATCTGCCTCTTCCTCACAGAAAAACAAGGCTTCCATTCTATCCTGCTTTTGTAGGATCAGCCTTTCCATGCTCAGGTCAAATAACAATTTGAATAAGCCAAAGCTTAGTTCATGCTCTTCGACAAAATTGTGAAGGCAGCTCTTTCTCACCTTTTCCAAGGCTCTCCTCATTATTTTGCCCAGAAACCTGGTACAAAGCAGTCTGTCACCGTTTTTTAAACTCTTGGGCATGTAATTTAGGATAACTCTATAATCTTTTAACTCAGCTGAGGATCTGTCCTTGTAACATAGTCGACAGGATCTTTTTCCTGAAAAACTGGAAACACTTGGCAGAGAAAAATAAGTTTCATACAGCTGAGTCTTAATAAGAATATCTTCCTTTTAAAGATTCATGATGAGAACCATTAGGTTCTGCTAGGGAAATTATATGAACACAATTTGTTAACATTGTCAAGTATCTAGTGCTGCAGAAAATGCAGATGTACATCCTCAATGCCAAGCTCAGTGCAAATATAGATTTATACATTTTTCTGTTTTCTAAAGATATCTACAAAGTCATTTCCCTTTGTAAACATGTTAGGTAATGGACACCTTTTCTTAGTCCATCAAATGCTCAGCATTTAAGAACAGAGGAATATTTTGCTCTAATCTTTTTTCTAAAGTTTCTTCATAACAATAAGGTTTCCACCAAAACAAAACTTGTCACTTAGGTCACATCTGATCATTACTGTCTCTGCTTATACTACACCTTTCTGCATTTATTAGACTACCTTTCTGCTGGTGGCATTGGCACCACCAGCTCAGGCCACTGCAGTCAAATATTTTTCAGTATAAACCCCACCCTGTTTTCTCTTTCATCTAAGGCAAGTTGGAAATTTTTGTGACTAATTTAAAGAAAAGAGAAAACAAGAATGAACACCTTGCCTAAATTAAAAAAAAAAAAAAAAGAAAAAAAAAGAAAAAAAAAGAAAAAAAAAGAATTACATTAAGAAATCTCCATGTTTCAAAGTAGAAGCTTCAATTTTGCCTGTAACCTTTTGGCTGGGTGACAGAAGCACATTTTCCTCTCTACAGGGAAAATCAACTCAAATTTTCCTAAAATTAAAATCCTTCGTAAGATCAGTGTGTACAGGTTAAAGGTTTTGAAGATAACTGTACAAGCTTCTCCATCTCCTCACAGCGGCTAGTCATCCCTGCAGAACAGTAAGGTACGCAGATCTGGAGAGCAGAACCCTATCACAAGTGCTTTCCTGAGCTGCAGCTGTTGGTCTTGGTTACAGGAGCTTCTGCACTCTCACTTCGAGGAACTGAAAGCATAAACACAGGGACATGGATTCACGCAGCCTAAATTCCACTTGGCATCCTGGACTGAGTATTTCCTCTTGCTCGTCCCTACCCACTGGAGACATTGGGCTTTCACTGGAATGCAGGATGTGAAATAGCACCCAGATTGCATGAGGAAGTAGTACCACATAAGGCAAATGCGGAATGGTGGGATGCAGAAAAATCACAGACAGACAGTTAACAAAGGTGTTGCGCTACAGGGGCTGGCTTTATTTCAGTGCTTTATTACTCACAACACAGAAACTGAATTTGTCAATATGGGGAAAATATAAAGGCACTAATGGATGATGGATGTCTAGTGGGTCCCCCTTCTCAAAGTGGTAAAGCGTATATTTGCCATATGTGCTTTTAAAGGGTTTCCTCTTTAATTACAGCTCAACCCCTAGAGGAAACAAACACTTGAGTTTCCATGAAAATCAATGAGTATTTCAAGCCCTCAACAACTGCCAAGATCAGAAACTAAGTTAACAATATATTTGCAATTATGGTGTTGAGAAAACATATACCTCCTCAAGTTACGGATTAATTAATATGGACCTAAACTGATTGCACTTTACATGGTCTGAAGTGAAAGTCAATGAAGCACTAATTTTTAGACAGAATTGATGTCTTCCTCAAAAGAAATGTTTTTTTTAAAAAAACCCATTTTAATAGATACAGCACTTAAAAAAACATGGAGAGAATCTATGACTTTCTGGTATAGGCTATTGGTCAGGAACTCAGTCGTATAGTTATTAAATTAGGAAAATCATTTTGTTGGATGAATAGGAAACAGAGAGTCAGAGTTCATTGTCTCTGACATCTGTTTAGGGTTAATAACATACTATGTTGAGGCAATAAGTCACCAACATCACTAGCATAAATACCGAAAGGAAAAGGATAATAATATGGGAAAAGCCAAAAAGGTAGGAGACACACGTGGATAACACTGGAAAGTCAAAAGCTGTAACTTTTCACTGTAAAACCATAACCCTTGAAAAAATAAATTTAAAAAAATCAATTATGTTATACCTTTTTTACCTCTAGCCTACAAAGAAGAAAATCTTGGGCTCTGAAAGGAAGCAAAATCAGGTCAAATTCAAGATATAGGCAGATCTAAGCAAGATCTTGAATAAACCTGATGCAGAATGCCTGGGATTTCTAGTGACCCAAATCCCAGCCTGCTGGTTTGGATCGCCTCTTGCCCCTCAGGCAGAGTGAGAAACTAAATAAAATGGACCCAAAGTAAACAGACTGATCTCCACGCCATGTTCCGAATGGTAGGCAAGAGTGGCTCTTGTGCAGTACTGCACAGGGCAACACAATCTGATTCACTGGCCTTCTCTTTTGAATAAGCAAGATTCTCTGTTCTCTTTATATCTTATGTCTGTCTAAAAAAAATACTTGAAATCAAAGTTATGAAATGCTCAATAGGACCAAAAATATCAAAATTACTAGAAAAATATCAATAAATAGTTTCTAAATAAAAGCAACAAGAGGTCCTCTAGGAAGTTTATGAACCAAATGACTTTTCCTGAGACTAGTTTAGCTGAATGTGTTCTGATGTATCATTCAAGATTTAGAGGTAGAACATGAGGGATCAAGTCCTGACCCTTTTTTAATTTATCCTTTTCTATATTTTCAAAGAACAACTACAAAAGTTATTTGACCACAATTTCTATCAATAAGCATTCATTTTGGCTATGAGTCAGAATACAGTCAGACATAAATCTAAAACCAACCAACCAAAATATACTGTGGTGAACATTCCCTCAAACGTTTTACACTGCTTGTCAATTTATAACCAGATTGCAGATGGACACATCAGTAAAACTCCCTGTGATGAACTTTCAGTAATAATTTTAATAAGATTGGAAGCATGACTATTTGCACTTCAAAATTCTTAAGAATAGTGTTATGGTATGGCAATAAGAGATTAATGGAGATCTTGCAAAAAAGATAAATGGCACTACAAGAATACCAGAAAACTGGGGGGATGGGGGAGAAATTAATTGAACCTATACTTTTGATAAATATTTATTTTTTTGCAGAAGAAAAATGCATGCTAGTTTGATCTGTCATTATGCTAACCTATATCCTATTTTTCATATTATTAGTAATACATAATGTGGTAGTTTATATTCAAAAATAAAACCAGAATGTATATACCTCATGTATTTATCCAGAAATACACTAAGGTTACTATGGTTACGAAAAATCCATTACCTTTGAATACAGAATGAAAAAGTTTGACTTAAAGTGTGCACTATTTATTATAGCAATCATCAACAGCCTTCAGGAGGTTCTCTAACTGGATTCATTTTTCAGTGTCAAAACTGACCCACCACACCAGTAGCTTATGGCCTGTGCAAGGCAAAGAAATTTGAACTATATGAATTTTTAAATATGTTTTATACTAACTCAAGATGCAGAAATGGCTTTGAATTTTAAGGCCTTACATTAAAAAGAAAGTAGGGTCTTGATACCCTTTTCCCCCGAGTTGTCTGATATGAAATGCTTTATTTTTACTTCTACCTACTACCATATACAAATTCTGATGGGTCCAGAATAGTGCTTATGTTATGCTATGATACCTCTAGCTCAATATTTTGGTTTTCAGTTGTTTGAATAATCTCTGAACAAATAACTTGGATGCTTCATTAAACTACCAATTACATTAAAATAGGAAGTCAGATTACTATGCTTCACTATTGCCAAATAACAGTCATTTAGCTTCTATGTAATAGTTTAAGAGTACTGATATAACTTGGTTATTGACACATTGCATAACTGTTATCAGAAGAAAACAGATTCTTAGTTTATGCTTTGAACAAATGAATTAAACATGGGCTATTCAGGAAAGCAACACCACGGCCCTCTAATTAGGAATATCTAAGTAAGACAGTAGGAAAAACTATTAAACTTGTACATCATATCTTTTCAACAGCTTACAGTTTACACGTTTTGAGAGCTGGATGCTACGAGATCAAAAAGTTATAAAACCATTAAAAAGAGGACTCGGGTCCTGTGAAAGAGGACAACACAGCACAAGATTCAGCTACACCTTGGCAACATTAATTTCTGAGAGCCCCAGAGTGTTCTGTGAAGGAGTCTTTAAAAACTGGAACCCATCAGGGTTTAAAGCGCATCCAGCTCATTTTAAATTTATTTTTATCTTTTCCTCTGAAATAAAAAGGGGTCAGTCATACAGTCATTCATAGTGACTCTGAGATACCCATCTGACATGCTACCTAGCACAGAACTCACCTTTTACAACATATTTGGTTCCATTTCCAAAGTAAAGTGGTACTCCGTTCATATATAAAGTATATTGTGTAATAAGACCATTTGGTATTTTTGGTGGACTCCAACTCATCAGCAAGAACGTGGGAAAGGATATTGCTGTGGGTGGTTGCACATCTTCAGGGGCTGGTGAAAAAAACGTATATACATATTATACATATTATATTTCCACAAATAATAAATAATTTCAGTAAGCAGCAACTACCAGAATGATTTTTGGTAAAGCTGAAATTTCAGAAGAGATTTTATGCTTGCCACACACCAGAATTTTGACCACTCTCCTATTACATGTGAGGTTTCCTCACCAAACAGAAACTTCTATGAAATATAAGGATATATTCTTTGCTTTTCAGGAGAATAATTATGCTTATTCAACTTTATCTTTCCAGCTTGATAACACTGAGCAAGGGGAGGAGTACACGATTTTAGTACAGTCCTTTTTGTAATACAAATTATTTTTCCTCCTTTATGCTTTTTATTCCTAACAACATAACGATTATTCTTTGTAATCACAAATGCAGATGCTGTATTCTTAGGCACTACCCCTTATTTCTGGCTTTTCATAATTCAATATGCTTAGTAATGTTTGTTTAGCGTAGATTTTATGTATATAATATACTGGAAGTTGGCAATGTATAATAATTTAAAACCTGAGTTCTCTCACCATTCCAATAAGTTATATGCTAGAAGCACAAGCAATCCCACTGAATATCGCAAGGGGAGCAGAACTCGGGCCTTAGTCTGGGAGGAATATCTTGTAATTTACAAGCTCTGTGCTAGCAATTTAAAACAATAACTAGCAGTGGCTGGCAATGTGAAAACAATATAAAGTAATGAATGTTTCAATAGGGAAACAGGGATAGCTGGAGGGTGTGATATGGTGTCTGTCTTCTGTATCATCAATTTATTGTTACTAAGAGCATGCAACAAGAGCATCCAAAAATAGAAACTCCACACATTGACTTTTTGTTCAATTCTTCTGAGGGATAAAACACATGTTCCCCATGGCTTTATTTGATCTCTGGGGAAAAAAAAAAACTAAAAAATAATCTATTCTTGCCTAAACCTTCCCAATTTGACAGTACATCTGAAAACAGCGGATGTTTTTCTCAAACACGTACAAATTCCTGCTTTATTCACTAAGCTGAGAAAGTAAGACATAAACGATTTATTAATTACTATATTAGACCAGAAAGAAATATACAATTCTGTATTTCATGTTTAGGTCACAAGGTCCATTAACTATTTGGCTGTCAGAGGCTACACGCATTCATGGATAATGCCACCAGACAAACTCAGGCAGTTTATTTAGAACTTCCAAGAGGCGATTAATTGGGTTTTGATTTGATTGGTGCTGTTGGCAGTTGCTAACATGTTCACATCAAAACGCTGTTCCAGCAATGTTAGACTGCAATCTTCAGGACTGTCCTTATCAGGACAACGCCTTGCATGACTAACTCCTTTGGCAGCAGTTCAACACTCTAGAATTCTTTTAATCATTATGGTTGTAATTCACATAACTTCATGCTAAAATTTTATTTGTTTTATTGGTACTGTATTACTGCCTAGTTTACATGAGAAGATAAAACAAAGAACTGTGGGAGGGAGGGAATTTTGAAAACTACTCCACATCATGAAAGATTAACTACTGTCCTATAAATACAGGTCAAAGTCTTCATTGTTCTACGGGTGCAAATTTGGAGTAACTGATGATTTTAACTGGATTAACATGGCTTTAGGATGATAGAACCAGAAGATGTGGACTTTATGTTTAATTGAGAATGGAGTTAGATATGTCACCGATATTTCGGGAGCATTTGCTCCACTAATTGATGTGTATTACTTATCAGCCTAGTCTCTAAAGTCAGAACTGTAATATATTTTCTCTTTCTTCCTGCCCTAATTCTTAATGCGAGCACAGAAAACATCAATTTACACTCACAACCTGCAAGTCTGAGCACAACAACGTGTAAAAGTGTTTAGGAAAAAAGGGAAAATCTGAACAGTGATTAATAAATAACTCAATCGGCATTTGGAGTTTTCATCACACTGAAATAATTGTTGCCTATTGCTGGTGTTTAGCAGTTAAAAGAAACCATGGAAATCAACCGTTTGATTCTCAATTTCATACTGTGCCATACAATCAATTCTTTTTAGTCAGACTGTCTCTAGATTTACTTCTGAGCCATAGTAAAATGAGGAAGCTTTCATTAATCTTTCAGATGCTTCATATTAATGACAAGGCTCTTGCATGAACAATGTAACAGCAATTAAAAAGCCCATTAATCTGCATTACAGCTATTAAAGATGCATGTCATTAAAGGGTATGGAGTTTGATTCATTTTCGCACCCCCCCAAAAAATGGAGCAATTATGGTCTGGCAATGCACTTTGTCATCAAATTAGGTTGGGGTTTTCCAGCAAATGGCTTTGCAGCATTTAGCTCTTCTCCTGTTTTATTATTCATGACTGAAATGTGGAAGTCAAGACCTTTGAAATTACTTTACCTTCTTGTGGAGTGGAGATGTTCAATGCATGCAAGCTCTCAGTACAGCCAGCCAAAGTGCAAGCAGTTAGGGTTACAGCATAGTTTGTGAAGGGATGCAAGCCCGTCAATATGCCTGCAACAGAAGAAAGCAAGGTGTTATGCATGTACAGTGTACAAATTGATTACATACATACACATACAGAAGTAAAAAATTAAAGTTTCCAGTTAGAGGCTTCCACTGTTACAGGCTGAAAATAAAAAATATTTTAAGGTTTCATTCCTATTATGCCATGACTTAAATTGTGCAAAATAGATTACTGTACTCCATTCTTAACGCTAATGTTGTGGTTAAATTTCTTTAGTTAGTCTCATTATAACAGATACTACTACAAGATTGATGTGTCGATTTTAATATAATAATGACCATAAACTTGAGGTTTTTATCTTAGTCCCCGCCTCACAAAGTTTTTTCAGTTATTCATTACAGTTTTCCAAGGAATTTTCACTGTCTCCCAGAACAAAATTTTTTTAATGCTTCCACTCCAGTGTTGCCCCTATTCATCCAGAAACTGAAATCTCTTTTTTGTATGAAACATCCGACTTGTGTTCCATTACTTCAGTGGCAGCATATAAAGCGTATATTTGCTATGCTACTACAGTAACATAAATTCAGGTGACACAGTACCCAAGGGTTTACAAGAAATAAACATCCGTGATCGTATGTTTTTTCAGGTCCTGCTTATACTTATGAAGAGAAGTTGCTACATTCCCACATATCGATCAGCTAACTTGTTGTAGCAAATGCAACAAATCACTGCTTACCACTTCAGGAAGTTACAAAATCTTTTTAACTGCAATATACAGAAGGACTACCTGGGAAAATTGTGGTTTACAGTCATTTTCAGAAACATCAGCAGTTCCCATTTCAAAGTAGGTTCGACAGTAAAGTAATACGGAATGAAAATGCAGTAGTAATTAGAAGGCCAATTCATGTCAAGTTTTATTTCAAACCATGTTCTCACCTTGACTCTTATAGCTTTTAGTGAAATCAATGGGGTCTTTCATTTAAAAACAAAAAAAAAAAGAATTTATAGCAAACTATGTTATTTTGGAACTGTCCGACACTGGGATTTTGCAAAGCAGCTTCAAAAGCAACAGTACCTCAGAGAACCATAATTCACGGCCAAACGTCCCATAGTACTATAAGACTGCAAACCTCCTCAGCATAACATGTACACAAACAGGTAGTAGAAATTAGTCCTTATTAGTCTTCATTGAGCTACTACATGGAATGCAACATAACTTTGAGTTTCATTAAAAAATGTCTTTTTCCCCCCTTTATACTCACAAAAAGGGCCTGGAAAATGAGATGCCAGAAGTTAATAGTTACAGCATAAATATATTATTTTCTGAGTGGGGCAATCGAAGTAAGTCTGTGAATGTTTATATTGTGTTTACTAATAGGTGTGTTCACATTAAAAATATGAGATTAGCTTTCACCAAATTAGAAATGTTTGTGTCTTTTCTTGTAATTAATCCAAAAACTTCAAAGGTTGGCTTTGCAATGATCTTTCTGTTTGAATTCTCTGAGGTCCAGTTCTACTTGTACACACAAAGAGATATTCAGAAGCAAATGCATTTGCTTCAGAATAGTGTTAAACTAAAACTGGTTGATCAGAATCCGCTCTCTCTGGTTATGATTTTGATTTTGCAATTCCTCAGTTAACAGTGGAAAGTTGTACTGCCATCTTACCATCTAATGTAAATGAAACAGGAAAGAAAAAGAACATTGTGCCAGTCACCATCCAAGCAAATGTGACTGTAATCTTCCCGTGATGGAAGGCAAATATTTTTAAGAGCATTAAAAAAGCAGAAAATAGGAAATAACAATGTTTTAAAGCATTACTATTCCTGTAAAGCAGGAATATTGGAATCCACAGTAAATTCTTCAGCACAGAAGTTTCATCAGTCAAAAAAAGCCTTTTTTTCATAAGACTTAGTACAAAGCACTTATTTCTAGCTCACAGAGGGTTAAACATGGGAAAGTATAAAAGGTACTGTTAGAATTACCTTCAGCAAATAAACACATGCAGAAACCAAATCCTCTAACTGTGACATTTACAAGTTCTCGGTTAAGAGAAGCATGGTATAGTGTATATGCCACCTCTCTGTTCACTCTGCTGTGCTTTAGGAAGCAATTTAGTTTTATTTGTACATTTAGCACTTGTAGCATTCTTTTCTTATGAAGCAGTGAATGAATGCTCCTTGCATTTCCTGATGGAAGACATTCTATGGGGTCACCAATGGCTTCAGGCACCGAGAGCTGCAGTAGCACATATCCAGAAAGATGCCCGTAGCTATAAGGAGGTTTGGATGGGGCTGTTTGGTTTACTTTTGACAAAGTAGAAAGATTTTATATAAAACACTTGCAGTGCAACAGAGTGTACATTACATAGGTAGGTTTGTGAAGGGCAGTGAGAATTTGAAAACAAAAAAAACCCAACCAACAAATAAACCCTTTTGCAACAGGTTTATGTTAAAAAAATTATTCAGCAAAAGCAGCAACTTAAAAAATAATTTGTTCATTTCCTAATTAATGTTTTTCCTTCACATGTACTCTTGCACTATTTTCTTTCAATAAAGAAACAGATGTGCTGCATAGGTAGGCAATACCAAGTGCACAGATTTTATTTACATACTTCAGCAAACTACTTTTTTCTCAGCTGCCAACCTATCTGTTTGGCCAGCATCCACTGTAATCTGTTCTCCTTCATTATGTTAATCTGTGGGCGGAAAGATTTCTGTCATCTTCAAATCGCTTGTACAGCAATGGTAAACACCTTGGCCTGTCTGTAATTGGACAGGTGTCTGCATTGGTGTCACCCGGCTTTTAATTCAATTAAAGAACTGGCTGCTCTGCTCTCATTACCCACTCATTTCCTCTGCACTTTTAGTCAGCCAGTGAAATTTACACTCAGCGCCTGACTATCTTAGAGTACAAAGTCAGCAGTCCCATAGCAAAGATCATCACTGATACACGTGAATTAATTTATAGCGCAGCCAAAGAAATTTCACAATAAAAAATAGCCTATGATCCAATGAAGTTGGTGGACAGCTTTAAAAAACTTTCCCTAGCTCCTCAATTATCACGCTTTCAGATCGGCATCTCTTGTCTGTACCCAGTAATTGCTGATCTGATAAGAGTCCATCAGGCTTTCCAAGACGGGATGCTAACAAAGCAAAATTTGGCCACAACCACACTTGCATATGTTCTATTAATGTTAACAGGAGAGAGGTAGATAAATTGTCACTTTGATCAGGAGATAGAATTAGAGGCACCATCAATATTTAAGAAGAGGGTCAGCCTCCCACATTTGGGATATGAGTTCCATTCATTCAGCCTGCCACTACAGAGCAGCTGAATCCATCTAGACTTAAAATTTACATCATAGACTGCATTCCAAGCCTTAAAATCCACATGGGGAATCGGAGACGGTAAATCATTCTAACACACCACTCCTATCTGCCCACCCAAAGAACCTTTGGAAATAAATTAAAGTTCTAACACAGACATTTTGACACAGTGACCCCATGAAACTGAATAATGTCATTTGTTAAATATGAATGTAAAGTTAACAGTCTAAAAGAGTGATCTGGAATCACACCTAGAACATTAAGCCCACTTTATATGCAAAACTAGTATTTAATTTTCTATAATTTTATTTAAATGATCTTTAATTATTTGCAATATTTAAAGTTGAGGTTTAGAGTTGTGTCAGAAAATGCTAGGTTCTTTCTTGCAGAGAAGGGATAAAAACATTGACATGGACAGTAGAAAAGGGTCAACAATTAATTTATGGTAAAATGGAAGGGTGGACAAGTCAGAGTTAGTTGCATCTTGATATCCACTCTATTCATCATTCCAATACATACAGTATATAGGAAGATTAAATGTCCAGCTTCTTCCTTTCTCATCTCCATAAAACAGACATTTCTTTTGTTCAGTACATACAAAAGGGAGGTCTCGTATATTTAGGTAGCTCAGACAGATTTTGTAGTATTCTGGCAGATTTTGAGTGGAAAAGTAGTACTTTTCATCAAGGAAAAAAATTGTTTTACCACTAAGGTATGAGGGCTAATATTCTGTTCACAAACACTTAAAAATATAGATTCAAAGGCAATTCTAGTATTTTAGCAATTTCCTCATCCAGTTAAAGGACTTTTATGAAAGCAGCTGCTTCACTGTTCCAATCTGTCATCCTGCTTTTTCAGAAAGTTGCTTCAAAACACCACCAGGTCTTCAGAGATGAGAAGACACACTTGCTTATGGCAACTTATAGAGCTTTTACTCTGCATAATGAATTGGTGAAACAAATATAAATTGAGGTAAGCTTTTAAAAATACATTTATTGAAGCAGCCTTCTCATAAAACAAAACTAAGCCCACTCACCCCCACGCACAACTCACACAAAAAAGTTCTTTAATCTTACAGATGTAACACAAATGCTACCGTTCTTTTCCTCACTTCCACAAGAAAAATTGCACTCGGCTAATACAGTGAAAGAGAACAATTTTGCAAGGCTAGTTCAATTATTTTTACAGGTAAATTTAGCTATTTTTAATCATAACCAGGCACTAGTTTCATATGCAGCCTGAAAACTCAGCTCTGCTACTGAATATTAAGATTCCCAAAGTCAACCACAGAGCTTACCCACACAAATTCCATTCGTTTCACAAGCTGAGTGTATTTTTTGCCAAAGGCGCTTTTCCTTGCCAGATTTTTGTCATTGTTTCCTCCCTAACACTCTACTTCATAAGGACCTATTTTGAAATACACATATTGCAATTGAAACAACACTTGACCTTGTAAGATTTACCTTAATTCTTGTTGAAGCTCTTAAAAAAAATTACCAAATCTCCCCTCCCCAAACCTAAAGACTATTTAGCCAACTTGAATGCCTGCGGTCATACAGCATCTGTCTAACAAAGTCACTTGTGTGTCGAGATGCATCATTGCCACAGTACACTTAATCACAGTCCACTGACCAGAAAAAGAAGTCCTCAACTGACTTTGTGTTTTCGACAGATTGTAGCAAAAACTGTTTAAGTACATGTGTCTTCTACATATGCATT